ATATATATATATATATATATATATATATATATATATATATATATATATATATATATACACTCGTATTATTATTCTTTTGTCTATATATATTTATATTTATTTATTTATTTATATATGTTTATACGTTTAGAGGGAAGCTGCCCGCATGAAGGCAATGATCAGTCTAGGGTTTAGGGTTTAGGGTTTAGGGTTTAGGGTTTGTGGTTTGTGTATATCTTACCGCAAGCAACAGCAACAGCAGCATAAGCAGTGCATGCAGCGAGTGTACGTGTGCGTGCTTTAGGTGTTTTGTATCCTCCTACAGCATCGACGGTGAGGCCCCCCATAAGGACCCCAGCAACGGGAGAAGTAGCAGCAACAGCAGCAAATGCTGCTACTGCTGCAGCAGGAGACAAACCCAGAAAAGAACCAAAAAATAATGTACCCCAAAACTGTACACCCGTAACCACAAACAATAAACAACATAACGTCAGCACTGGCAGCATGTACATCGGCGTCCTGAGCCACACACACACACACACACACACATATGTATATATATATATATATATATATGTATGTATGTATGTATATATGTTTGTTTATTTATTTGTTTGTTTGTTTGTTTGTTTGTTTATTTATTATTTATTTAGTTATGTTTGTTTATTTGTTTGTTTATTTACTTATTTATTTATTTATAGGATGGAGATACAAAAGAGAATATACAGCAGCAGCAGCAGCAGCAGCAGCAGCAGCAGCAGCAGCAGCGGAAGAAGAAGCAGTAGCTACACAGCACACGCATGCATGCAAGCAGTAACAAAAGCAACACAAATGCAGATGCATGCATACGAAAAAGAAATAAAAAAAAACAGAGAATAACATACACACCCTCGACCCACCCCACACAGCCATACTCCCCCCAAACCCTAAACCCTAAACCCTAAACCCTAAACCCTAAACCCTAAACCCTAAACCCTAAACCCCCCGAACCCCCCCAGCAACAACGCCGCCAGCTGACGTACAGCAGCAGCGCCAAGGAGGCGTTTCTCCTGCTGCAGATGGGGGGCGAGAGCTCTACTGCAGCGGGAGCAGCTGGCCAAGCCCGCACGCTGCTGCTGCTGCTGCTGCTGCTGTTGCTGTTGCTGCTGCTGCTGCTGCTGCTGTCTGGGGGATGCCGACTAGCATCCACCGACTTCCTCCTGTGTGTTCCCGCTGTCTCTGCTTGGCCTGGGCTCACACAACAGTCTCCTTCTACAGCTGGCAGTGTATGCAGCTGCAGTTGCTCTCCCCCCTGCTGCTGCTGCTGCTGCTGCTGTTGCTGCTGCTGCTGCTCCTGGTCTTCCGGCTGGTCTAGAGCATGTTTATCATCCTGAAGGTACTTGGGGCCCCCCCTGGAGGCCCCCCCTGGGGCCCTCCCGGGGGCCCCCCGGGGGCCCCCTGGCGTCTGTATATACTCCTGCGGGATGCTAGCTACAAGGCCAGTAAGTACCCACAAAAAGAAAACCTGCAGAGATATAGCCGCTCGCCAGTTGAAGCCCAAGTAGACTGAGAGAATACCAGCAGCCAAGTAGCC